GAAACATCAGATGAGGTACTCTTTTATTCAACTTTTGTACGGTATCAGTTTTCATATTGTGGATTTGCATATTGCAGGATGGTTTAGAACTTGATGGAAAGTTAGTCTTTAAATTAAAGACCTTTTCAAATGGGAAGGGAAAAGTGTTTAAACAGTTGGGCTTTGAAGGAGTAGGCTTCTCTTTTGCCACGAGGAGGCTCTATTGTAACGGTATTGGAACAGGAAAACATTTTTCTATAGAAGCAAATAAGTAATGCCAGGAGATACCGTCATTAGAAATAAACACACAAAAAAACCTAACCCCAAAACTTTTTCCAGTCGTCCTTCCCCTTTTATTTTCTTTTTCCTCTGCTTTGTCTTTTTGCTTCCTTTCCCTCCCTCCCCCTCCAAATTCGTGATGCCTAAAAATGTGTGAAACCATTATTTGCTAACAGGATTTAAACTTTTACCCTATGAGCTTTTAGCTTCCAAGAGTTTTAATTCTTCAATACAGATACTTTAAGCATAAGTAAGGTTTTTCTGCTGAAAATATTTTACTAAAAAGCAAATAAAAATATCTAAAGTAATATACAAAGGCCCTCTCAAGAAAAAGAGAATATGGCACCTTTTTTACTTCTGCTGATAATATATTAAAAAGGTTGAGTTTGTGAAGCAATGTACACGTGTTACATTCCTACCTTTTCCTTTGTAGCAATGTGTGCATATTTGGTTTAAATGAAGTTTTCTGACATTTATGCCAGAACATTTATGATAGCAACACAACTGCCTTTTTTAGAAATACAGTTTCACTTTTTTGTTTTTTTTTACGAGATATAGAACATGAGCTTTCTTCTCCAAGAAGCAGCAGTAAAATAGACCAAAATCTGCACCACGTGATACAGTTCAGATATCATCAGGATTGTTTTGTATCTGTTGAAATTTATTATAGTAGTTGAATTTCATGAAGGCACCTGCAATTTTACTCATCTGTGCAATGTATACCTGTTTTAAAACTAAGTAACTGAGTACATGCACAGGTTTGTGGCTTTTTGGCTAGATTTATTAAGGGGAAAAAAAAAAAGAAAAAAAAAGATAAAAGAACACAACCCTACTCCCCCTAGAAATTCAGTTAGTGCAGTAATGATTCAAAGTAAACAAATATCCCTCTAGATGGAATGGTAACCTCTTCAGCACTCCTGTTGACAGCACACAAGTTGTTGTTCTAAGTTGTTATTACTAGCATGAATGGAGTATTTTCTACTTTGGGGAAAAGCTTACTGGACAGATAGAAAGCAAACATCAGCAACACGCTGAATATTAATACATGAACATCAGGTAATCTGTGACACTTCTGTTTGTTAGTTTGGAAACTATACAGACAGTAACAATTCAGAAGTTTATATATTTACATGAAGCTAAGTGAGTATGAATAAGAAGTAATGTAACTGGCTCATTTGTTATTGTCGTCGTTTAATTAACAACTGGTTTTGTCTTGGTGCCTAGACTTTCAATCAATTTCCACATCTTCCTCCACTGCCAAGGACCCCTCTTTGTCCAGAACTTGCTGAAGAATTCAAAGACCCTCCTCAGAATCCTGAAACTAAAAGTGGCTTATGTGCAAAATCCGAAGGGGATTGCACTGTCATGGACCCTTACAGAAATTGATACAAATTGTGCTTCCCTACGCAGTCATCACTTGTATCTGTTCCATGAAAACCTTAGTAACAATTCTGCGTCACATTGGAAGAAAATAGGCAAAATAAGGGCTTTGCCACTTTCAATGGCTTGCTGTTTATCACAGGTTATCATCCCAAAGAAGTACTACTTTGTCATTCAATGAAAAGGTATATGTGGATGTTACAGACCATTTTGTGATATACAGTCTATAACTCCTTAAAAAACTCTTTAGAAGACCCAGACTACCTTAACAAGTGGTCTACTGTTGTTCCACTATTAAGTACTATATTGTTATTTGCAGTGAGTTCCGAGTCAAAGCATTATCTGTACTGCAGACAGTATTAATTTCCTTATGTTTCCTACTTGTTACAGTCTGTTATGAACTTTATTCCGTTAATTTTGTAAGCGTGTTTCTACAGCCTTGAACATGAAGTCTTGTTTTTAAAACTAATTTACTTCCACATTTCACTTTCTTTCATCCTATTACTTCAGAGGGGATTATTGCACATGTGAAAGAAATGAAAAATACAATAAAATTTTCAGCTTCATTATTTTCTTTATTTCAGTGGCATTGATGAACCATGATCTTAGGGATCTTAGTTCTCTTGATTGTTTGGAAAGGTAGTGGCTCATCTTACTCCTATTTTTAGAAATTATAGGAAGGATTATTTTGTTTTGTCTGTTTAGCTAAATGGCACAAGCTTCCACAATGCTCAAGTTAAGACAACACTGCTGTAGTCCTTCAAATATTTTGAATCCATTAAGAACCACATAAAATGAATTGTTGATGTAGCTAGGGTAATAAAATAGTCAATGCCTAAGCAGCACAGTTCCTATTACCTACAATGCTGCTTTTTTTTTTTTCTTTAAAGATACCTCACAGCAAAGTCGAGCAGAACTTCATTTTCTCTTGTTCTGGATGGAATACCTTAAAAAAATACGTATTTTTTTAAAAAGCATATTGACATAAATATTCTAGATTTGTTTTCCAAGATTGTCTCCTGTATTTCCTTTCAGATGCTTACTTGCTGGGTAAAAAAATGTCAAGGTAGCTTCACAGCTGCTAGTGAATATTTTAATAGTTTGGACTTTTCCCTTTTGTTCACTATGATTAGAGGGCAGAAGTTTTATGGGGTTTGGGAAATTGTTTCTGGGGAGCTGGGGGGGTCGTTTTGGATCAATCTGTACAAACCCATCTGTATTTTTATCATCTCAGTGCAAACCTGAAGCTTGGACCGAAGCAGATGTAGAAGTCACTGGCCTGTTTCTAACATTTTCTCACAATGTCAAGGCACTCAACCTAATCTCAAATACACAGCTGTTTCTGCAAATGATGAAAAAAAAACACCTTACAAGTAAACTATTTATCAGAGCATCTGTGGATCTTGCATTACTCAGTAGCTATTCTTCTGACGCCATATACTTAAATGTTCAATACACTAATATTTTCTCTGCTTACCCTGGAAGGTCTTCAACAAAGGACAAAAATAACCAGCTTGTGGTTCTAGTACAGGCAGGAAGAATTTAATTTTACCTGTTCACACAAATACTCAGCTATTTCTCATCCAACATTGTGTAAATATATCCCAAGCTTAAAGACAAGGTCAGATTGCTAAATGTATCGAGCTTGCTATTACAGTACAAGAATTTGTTTTAACTTTATTTTCATGTACAGTTTCAGAATATATAGAGCATAGAAAATGGTATATTTTAAAGGCATATCAGGTAGAAAGAATATCCTAAAATATGTTTGTCCTGTTAGAACTCTAGCTCAAACTGTTTTGGCATTTGTTTTCTTGGTATGCAGAACATTCTCATCTGTTCTATGTGGCATCATGCGTACGCTGCTGTTTGTACACCAGGGTGTGCATGCTTTTTACTTTTAATTAAAAGGACAGCTCTTTTACTGTGGAATTAAGCTGTGTGTTCATGTATATATTCATCTTTATTTTAAATATTTGCTCAAGAAATGACCCGAGCATTATCAAGGCAAGAACCTGAAGAATCATCTCTTCAAGTCAGTGGCATAACAGCTTAACTTACAATTTTACAGGACTGTCTTCTAGATATAAGATAGTTTTAATCCATATTTGCTTAAGAATTTCCCTTACTATTTCATGTTTGAATAAAACTAGCAAAATGCCTAGCTAATAGTCTCTCTACTTTCAACCTTAAACCTGCATCTGCTTATTTAAAACAAATTTTGCTTGCTAGCAAAATTCAGGTTTTGAATCTAAAATGTATTCAGCAAACTGTAGAAACACTTTTTTAAAAAGTAGGGTAATAATTCTTGAAATTGAGAGCATTCCCACTAAGAGAAGGAAAAAAAAAAAAAGACAAAATACTAGCATCACACTAGACTGGTGAGAATGCATTTTGCTCAGACTGATTTGGGTTTTTTACTATTATTATTACTTTTAATATGTTGTCCTGCTTACTCGTCTAATTTCTTAAGAGTCTTGTTGGGCTTTCTTTGCTCCCAAAAGACAAGTAGTACATGCCAAAGCATTTTAGGATGTTCAAGGAATGGAGATGGAACTATACGACCTATTACTCATGTTGGAGACAGTTCCTATACAGTTATGCACCTGAATATTTACTTTGTGAGAAATCAAGGATGAATTATCGGAAGGAATGGGTCAGACCATCAGCTGATGTATAATGCAGTAAGTATTGACTTTAGTAGAGCTACACTACTTTGTAATAACAGATTTGTTCTACATTAAGTGTAAAACCTCATTCAAAACCTATTTACTTTTTTATTGCCTGTGTATTGGGACAGCTGTAGTGAATATACTGAAATAAATACATGGTTAGTGCTTTTACAAAGTCAAATCTATAATTAAGCATCAAAGCTGTGACTAACCAGAAAAAGCCACTTCATTCATTCTCCACACTGATCTCCCAGCTCCAAAATCACCATCAGCCAAAGCCAGTATTACACTGCTGAGCAGTTAAGCCTGGTATTACAGTACAGATTTATCTCACAAAATTACTGAAAAATAAAAATCACCAAGTCATTTTATCTGAAAAACTATCCTGGAATTCATAAGCATAGTAATTACACTCTGATTTATTTAGTAGGAGTGTTTACTTCAAGTAAAATCCACAGAGGAATTTAGAATGAATTTTTTAAAGGCAACTTTCCTAATGGGCAGACTCGGGGAATGCTTTTGTAAATGATGTCTTAGCCATGAAACCACTATATAATAAAAGCCCAGTGTAATAAACACATTGAGTTTGGCTGTAAAAACCTAAATTTGGCATTGCTTGATCACTAATTTGCTTAGAAATTTGCAGATGTAGGCAAGGTAATGCTTTTTTTTTTCCTTTTCTTCCTTCCAGAAAGACTATGCACAATGCAAAAATAAAGGGATATAGGACTTGAGTGGGGTATTTCTTACTGCTCAGACTATTCCGGTCCCAAGTTGTGCAGTGAATTTGCTGATGAATTCTCCCGCCAAAGGCTCTGTATGCTTAAATTAAATGTGAAAGAGAATCAAGAGAATCATTTGCTGGAGTACAAAAAGGAGTTGTTTACTTCTGCAAAGCAAGTGGTTTTAATAAAAGCTTGATGACACTTACTGCACATTATAAATAGCAGAACACTAGTCCTCTGCCAGAACAGACGCACTGAGTGCAGCTTTGGGCTTTTGTAATGGTTCCCTTTATCCACTGTGGTCTGGGCCTTATTTTTTACTCCCCCTATATTCATCCCTTCCCAAAGGGATACATCTGATCCAGGAATATAGTTAGCATATTGCTTACAAATTAATTTTCACGGGCTTTATTTGTAATCGACTAGAGGCCAGGAACAAACTGTTAACGTCTAGTAAAGGGAAACCATTTATGATGATGAAATACGTAAAAGAAACAACTTGGCTCTGTCCTGCTCAGATCCCTGACCTGTAGGTGCCTGGCATTCCATTAAACCTGCCATTATTTTTTATTCTGTTTCATATCAAGAACACAGTACATTCTTAGAGAAACAATACCTTTACTACAAAACCATGTAAATGATTATATACAAAATGGTTACTGGAATTTGGTTTTGTACTGTAGTGACAGAAATAACTAGCTGCTGACATTTATTTACGCTTCCTTAGTACTAGGTACATAACACCACTGATCAGAGTAAAGGCAAATGCAATCCAGGCTAAGACGAAGGAATAGCCGTATCGGCCTTTAGAAACTTCAATGCTATATTCATGGCTCTTGTGTAGTTCTTCGTGCCTATCTGTATAAATGGAAGCTGCAATCATAACACACAGACCTGGAGGAGGAAGAAAATAGTAAAGTTTAGCATCTTAAAATATTATCCATATGCATAAGAACTATTCACTGTCTCTCTTCTGTCAGCTGCTTCCACCAATGTCCTTTTTTTGCAGACACTCATTTTCCATCCTCAAACTCATCTGGGAGCATTTCAGGACACGTTTTCAGTTTCTTTGGCATGGACTAAATTTGAAGTGCCGTTGTGTATTTATGTCATTTGCAATGAACACAAAATGATTCTAAACATCTGAGTAGTTTTAAAGACTAACAAAAAATTAAGGCAGTACCTGCCTGTAACAATTACAGAGTTATTTAATTTGTTCAAGCAGTTCACAAACTCAGATTCTTTCCCTTCAGAGTTTAAATGACTTTATTCTGAGCAGTGATGTCATCCATGTTTTAACTGCCTAAATAGTACAGAATGGAGCAGTTCACTGTTTAAACAAATATGAAGGATAAGCTATGACCTCAAGAGCCCTACACATTTCTCATGCAGCTCATTCTTTTTGAAACCTTTTTCCCCTTCCCTTTCCTACTTTCACGTAAACATCATTAAAGTCACAAGTCTTGAAAAATCACTCACATGACAGGAGCTGGATAATAGAGGTTAACACAAATCTTTCTCCTTGCTTTAGACGGAAGAGTTGAAGAATGAAAACCAGAAATGCCACACAACAGAAAATAGTAGATAGGATCATGGTGGCCTGAACAGCCTGAACTGATTGATATTCTGCAAAAACAAAAGCAGCCTTGATTAAAAATACAGTTTCTCTCTTTGCCTACTCCTGCAATGAGGAGAGGGGCAGAGCTATGTTCTGTAAGCAGGAGTTCAGCAGATACAGCAAACCAGTTGTGCATGCCTCGCTTAGGGTGGTTCTCTGCTTCCTTGGAATTAATACAGCCAGTGGTTTAAGGACTTCTAAAAGCTTTTCATAAAACTGAATAAAAATACTGAAGAGACTATTTCTCCCACACCACATCCTTTGCTACCATCTACGTACTAAAAGCACAGTGAAACTGCCAGGTGTCCCAAATGGCTTACAAGTGCAAACCCGAGCTGGAGACAGCTCCATCTGGTAAGATGTAACCAGACAGCACAGCCACACTCGGCACAAAAGATTCCTTTGACTAAGGTTTTTCACCCTGTCGATTACTTCCCTATAACTAGGAGCTAAAGTAACCAATAAATTTGTAATTACATGTAACTACATGCTTTGTATAACTGCTGCAATAATATGGCCAAGCTAAGCTACCCAGATAACCTCCTTACAGCACCTCTCCTCTAGCATAGCTGGCACTGCAGTTAGTAGGTCTGTGAACAGCAGACGTGCCTGAGCTACTCATGATCTAGCTAGTTCGGGTACCTAATTTCAATGAATGCATAGTAACACAGACATCAAATGCAAATTCGTTATATTCGTGTTAGCTTAGATACGCCTGTGTGTAATGGATCCTCTCACTGCAGCATAGATACACTCTAGACCAACCTGACGCTTCGAAAGCAAAGTTACTTTATGGATACATGGCTCTTCAAATCATCTACCTCTTTAATATATGCAAAGATTGAAAGTATAGAAATAAAGTAAATGTAACATTTGAGGATTTTTTTATTTTTTGTAAAGCAGGATGTTAGGCTGTGCTGTATATTAAGTCCACTTTGTTAAAACTTCAGCTTGTGTTCTGACTTCCACTTTTTTCCCCCATCCCTGTACGCAGCCAGTATTTTTAGGTTCTTCTTTGGAAGTTAAAGTTCAATTCTGCGGCAAATTCTATCACTTCAGCCACACTTTCAGATGACTTCACTGGTTTTACCTGATCTGATTTTTTAAGAACTCTTTAGCACTCCTTGTTAGTTGTTTGTGTTCACTCTCTTGCACTGGGCTTTCAAGTGCACCTGATAGTTCTGTTTTCCTCTTACAGAACCTGTTGGAACAGTTTGCTTTTCCAAAATGAAAAGTCAGTATTAAAGTCTTTAGAAGGCCAGAGCAGTTCGAGCATGCAGCTTTTTGAAAAAATATATTATTGCCCCTGCAAATTTCGTAGCTATTTCACCAGATCTCCTGCTAAAGGGACTGAGACACAGGCATGGAGAGACACATACCTCTGAATTGATCGGTAATAGCCGTACAGGTGCTAGTATTTGTGGCACACGTTCTCCAGACATCTGTAGAAAAATTATCTCCTACCCACCAGGCCTGCAAAATAAAAGTAAAGGGCTCTTACAGGAAAAAAAAAAAAAAAAAAAAAAAAAAAGCCCCACAAAACTCCTTAGTTGTCCGAGTGTCTCCTGATCAGATACACCAGCTGGAACAAATTTCTGTTCAGTTTAGATAATTAACCGTTCAAACTAAATTTGAGATCTAATGGCATTTTGGAATAAAGGTTATATCATTATTCACATGTCATTTTCATTTTAGACCTGTGTAAAGTGAAAAAGGGAATAGATGGCAATCTTAAACATCCCAAAGCACAAGGGATTTTCCACTGTTCGGGCAGAAATTTTGGATAGTTAGTGACTGCTCACTCCTTAAGATACCTAGGCAAGATCTGCTTTGTTCATCCAGACCCTGTTTAAGATGCACAACTCTTTAAAGGCACAGCATTTTTTAGTCCGCAGGAAATAGCAGGGTATACATCTATGAAACAGAAGCCCTTTATAAATTTTTCTGGTTCCTGACACTGAATCGAATTAATCTCAACTTAATGTAGCTGTGCTGTCCATGTGCAAATGCAGTATGTACACAATGGCATCCGACTGGAAGTGGCTAGCAACAAATAAGATCCTCCTGTGGTATTTCTATTTTGATGTTTTCACATTTAATGCAAAATAGTACTACGGTGACTGAACAGATTTTTACGGTAGCCTGGGAAATGCTGCAAGCACCCCACACAAGTGGCATTTCCTCAGGAAACCCATTCCCGTTCCAATAGCTATCCAGGCCTTTGTTTTGACTAGAGTTGGAAAAATATGACTTTTAAATATGACTCCTGGTAGCATCTGCTGCTTAAATAGACATTCCAGAAACCTCATACCTTACTGTGCAGCTTTGCAAACAATACTGCAATAAAAACTATAATGTTATGATAGTAGGCATATGTGTAATAGTAACGCAGTGTTTTAAGAAAAAGCATTACTTTCTCAGGATGCCATTCATTTGGATTTTGCAGTCCAAGTTCAATATATTATTTTTCAGCTCTAAGCACTATATAATCCTTTCAGAGTTATCTCCATGACTATAGAAAGCCTCTGAAGATGATAAAATCCAATAGAAGGTGGTTACACAGTTTAAGTTCATAATTGTTTAAAAGTAGCTAATGACACAAAACAGAGTGCATGGGGTTTTATTTCTATAATAATTTGATTTGTATGCAGCAGATCTGAACTGAGAATAAGTAGCTTTGTCCACTGTCCTAGCTTTCTAAATATTCAAAGGAGCAGGGTAAGACAACCTGCTTTAGTGCTCAATGAACGACCTATTTCAATGGAACAAATCAGCTGACTGAAAGATAACATCCGAGTTTGTACAATTTTGCAATAAAAAGTTGTGGGTAATACATCATTTCACCTGGAGCATAGTCTTGGAACAGACTACGGGATTCGAACTGGCTTCACTGAGTGCAGTAAAGTCTTTTCAGCAGACCATTTTTTTAATCCTAAAAGCCTGTACATACACTGAACCTATTAGAGAAAGAAAGACTCCAGTGCACGGTTAAGAGTACCAATCAGGACAGTGGGCTGTTTCGGAAAGAGGAAAATTCAATTAAGAGCTAGATGTAAATACTGGAAGGTAAACTCTTTCTGGCCACAAAAATAAAAAGGAAATTTGAAAAGAATACAACATAAATTATTCTAAAATTTTCTGCTGAAACTGCGTAACTGAATGGAAACAGATAAATTCGTGGTGTCCCTTTCATGATTTAACTGGGCATCTTGGACAACCACTTCTGAGGCAAAGCATACCTTGACTGAAATTACCCCCACGCATCAATCATGAGCTATTTGACTTCACGTACTTGTCACAAAAGGACGATAGATTCCCCCCGCCCCTTTCCCTCATATCTAGCTGAACCAAGTCCCACAGCTCCACCCTGCAAGCATGGTAGTATTTCTAAATATACTCTCTGGCCAAGTATCTCACGGGGAGAAGATTAGCTGTGTAACGTGGGCTTACAACATGATGCCATACAAATGTATGGCATGTACTGGTATAGCCTTATCCAGGTATACCAGCAACATCCATATTCCAGGCATTTTTGTTACAAAGAGGTATAGGCAGAGCAGTGTGCCTAACAAAGTTACGTACTTTCAGTAAGCAAGTTGAAGACAACTAGAGAAGAAAAACTTCATTTTTATGAAGCAAAGAAACACCTGTGTGTTTGAGAGAAAAAGAGAAGAAATGACACTTACATTGTCAATAGTTGAGATGAACAGCAGTGCTGCTGAGGTTATGTGAAACACAATAATGAAAGCCAGAAGAATCAACATCCTTGATCTGTGGAGGCTTTAGTCTGAGATAAATCTGTTAAAAATGAAAGCATATATGATCAGTCTTTAAAAGCTGTTAACTGATCCTCCTGTCATTATGCTATTTCACTGTGGCTGTGAGTAGTCAAGGTCAGCGCGAAGTGTATTTCAGAGCAAGGTGCTATTAGATTCAGGAACGGCACAGGCAGTTTGAGTCCACAGCACACATTCTTTCTCTAGAGATAAAAGATTTCACATAATCAGACTTTACATCAGCATAACAGCTTTCTGTTTGTTATATGTGACATGTAACTAGCATCACTGGTGTTAAAATGAATCATAACTTGAAATGAAGCCAAGAGGTGCATTTTGCAACCTGCCAGTGAGATGGCTGCAGTGGGTAAACACACAGAGAAGTTTCTTTCGATGTGCTTCTCCAGCAAGGATATAAAACACTCCTTCATGTTGACTTTCAGAGGAGTACTTTTCAAATTACAGCCTCATTTGCATGTGATGCTAGAATTTCCACTGGCTTTGGTAAGGTCTTGTTTCAGCCATGCTTTCAAAGTAGGAAGAAATGCAGATTTCAAAAGGATGCTTGTAGAACAAAATTAAGTGCACCAAGAACTACCTCCTAGATTTAGTAACAGCTATGTTGTACCTTAGGTTCCATATAGGTTGCCCTTTGTTCATATAGTTACAAGTTTTATCCATTGACGAATGACTTAAGGCTACCGTTTTCTCCAGTATATTGCCCTGACTGGTAGGGTTGAATAAACCCATTAGTCATGTAATAATCCAGTTAGTTATGTAATGCCGGTCACTTAATGCCCTCTATAGTCAACCGCTTACCTTCATACCTTACCTAACCCGTTTATTACCATTTCACATCTCAAATGAAAAAAAAAAAAATTCCTACAAAGGAACCACAAACTTTATCTGAACTGAAATCCCCAGGAAATCTGTGGCCACGTAACAAATAGGTTAGGGAAAACTACTGTTACTAATACATAGAAATGTACAATTGCTTGGTATATCTTTTTCTTCTTGTTGTGTAAAAATGCTTGCCAATTAATATATGCTATATTCTATAAGGAATCTGCACTCTTGCAGGTATTTTCTTTGCATTGAATGTGCACCATTCTCTACATTATCTGCATGCTATCACCCATCAGTACATTAATGCATGTTTTCCACTTCCTTTGCTTTGGACACATTCTCCTATGTCAAATGATCCCACTTATGTAACACAGCAAAGAAAAGGCAGTTATGATTTTTTTTAAGACTTCCATGATTTTTTTCATGTCTAACCCTCTCTCCCCTCCTGCCATTTACTAGAATCACGAACCACACGGAGAATTTAACCAAATAAAAGGACTACTTTGACAGCATTTTTAAAGCAGCTCCACTGGCATTCTCATCAGGCCAAAATACAACTACTCTGCAAAACTTTAACAAAAAGATAACAGACAGCATATGAACATCCTGAATAGAGACTAGAAGTTCCAGACTAATCCTTTACATCTACACCGCAGTATAGCGTTTCACTGCAGTACACCATTATAACAAGCACAAAGCCGAACTATTAGAGTGCTTTTGAGAAAATGAAAATTGATCGGATAAACTTATTTCCGTATCTAATTGGAATGACTGTATGGGAAAGCTAAGTCAAATCCTAAAATAAGGAAAGCAGCTACTCAAGTTTTTAGTCCTTCCCATTTTCTCACTGTTAAACTTTGCCTTCTCAGCCACAACAAAGAACAGAAGTGGTAATTTCCTCCAAAGAGCCAATTCTGCTGTATGACTCAAGATCCTCTGAATCTAGTTCTGCTTCTAGAAATGTCATTCATGGCTCTCTATCGAGCCCTTCTTGAATGAAAGGAAGGAAGAAGGAAAAGACATTTTGTGGTTTTGTATAATGCCACATCAAAATATTTTCATTGTGAAATGTACCAGTCTTCACACAGCACTCTCTTGTCTTGTGGTTGGGTTTTTTTCTGAGTTTCATTTGTTGCACAGATGGTATCTAAGCAGACAATAATGCAACAGTCATCTGCCATATAAGGAGAGAGAATCAAATTGTACTCAGTATTATTTTAAGAATAACAATACAATTTCATCTTATTACATGAAGCATCATAAAGAGAGACAGAAAAACGTAACCTAATTAAAACCAATCTTGCAAAATCAAGACTTGCCAGCACAAAAAAATCCACTTAATCTTCAATCAAGCGAATGTTTTTGTTGTACTGCTTTCAGCCATAAACAGAAGTGTTTCCAACAGGATGGATAAACATGTATGGGTGATGAGGAGAAAACATTTTATGTTTTACCCAAATAAAGCCAAGATTAAAATAAAGAGCTTTTTTTTTTGTCTTTACAAAAAAATAAAGGACAGTAACAATAGTTTGAAGTTTCTGTTCTGAAGAACCTTCGTAACAGCCATTTTTAGATACTTCCTACTGACTTGCTGGCGATGGCTCCTTTCATGAGCTACTACAACTTCTGTGCACACAGTGCTACAACAACTATACACAGATACGGGAATTAAATATGCTGGGGGAAAGGAAGGAGACAGACCAATTCCAAGTAATCAATACCAGGAAAAGACAACAAGAACTTGTTACCCAATCTGTCACACCTGAGCAGGGATGCCAGAAGTGCACCAAAAGATCTGTGGACTTCAATCACGCCTAGCAACTTTCTCTTCCTGTGGAGACCAAGGAGTGCCTCTGGTTCATCACAGCCTGCGCAAGGAGTAATGAGGGGAGGAGGGTCTTCCAGCTAAACCCTGATCTGTGCGCAGGAAGCAAAGAGCAGCTCCCTTCTTCTAAGATGCAGCCAGCAATGATGCAGAAGCTCCTACAGTATCTGCATCCCTCTCGAGGCAGAAATTCTCGACTTCACCTCTCAGGGGAGACTATTAGCAACCAGTCCTCCTCCACTCTAGACACTGCTGGAATTTAAAAGTTTATTTTGGAGACTCAAGATCCTTCCAATCCCTCAGCAAGAAGCTCTTCCTTCCCGATCCTCTGAGGACAGCCTGCCTGAGTACCTCTCCTAGCAACAGGCAGCTCCTTTCCTCTCTCTCTGAGCAAGGGAAGGACACAGTTTTGTCTTCACATGGAGAATTTCTGAGAACACGGTTTGCATTAACATTCCGAATTCTTACTTTAATAATTTATTACTAACCAAACACTTCGGTAACATCCTATTCCACATACTAGCTGTAGTCCTCTTTGTTTCTTATTCAACGTTAACTGTCTCTCAAGGGCTCTCTTCAGGTTCACAATTGTTCCCAGTTGTTTTAGCAGCAGCTGAAACCTCTGCCAAAGCTTGCCAAACCAACAGCATGCCACCTGGCAGCAGCTTTTGCCTCGCTCTTTGAAATGGAGGGTACTTGCAAGAACAAAAAAGCTAGCACTACTGTTTAACCTGGCTGAACTAATTCTGCTCAACAGAACAACCAGCAATTTAGGTTAGATTAAAGTCCTATCATCTCTTACATTTAATGTACGCAGCCACAAGAACATACTGCTTAAAAGGGGTTGTTAATAAGAACAGAAAATGCATTTTTAAATCACATAAATTTGGGACGCTAGTACTTCGTACTATTGCACTGAACAAGAATCTGCAAACAACTATATTAAGAAGATGCATAGAAATGATCAGACTCTTCAAGTAAAACGTTGGTATCAGTGTGTGATGTGATAGGGGATTCTGTAGTATTTTTTTCCATTGCTGTTTTGCAGCTTTGGAAGCACTGCCCTATTATCAGTGCTAATACATGCTGCTATGAAAAGGTTTCTTGCTCTTACAGGACTCTTGCTCTTAAATGAACCATTGCTCAGCTCTTCTGTTTTAGGCTCTTGATTATAGGTAAGAATATTTGTATTGATCAAAAAAAGCTTCCTGGGCAGAGTAATTTTTTACTTTCTATCATTTGAAGTAATATGCACTATGCTCTCAAGTCAGGGTGTTTATAATTTTTAAGTATTAAGATGAAGACTGGGATCATGCAGCAGATATTGTTCATCATTCCCCAAAGTGGTTGGAATTCTTTTAATAGTTTTTACACACACACACACAAAAAGCTTTTTGGACACACTACAGTTGTCTTTAAATAGAGATGATGGAGCCGCTCTTCTCAGAAGTACATGATGAAAAGACTAGAGGCAACAGTCACAAGTTACAACAAGGAATATTCCAATTGTGAAAAATGTATTAATTATATTCAATGAGCATGATTAAGCACTGGAACAGGGCCCAAAAGACTGTGGGATCTCCATTCTTGGACATCTTCATAACTTGACTGAAGCAAGGCCCAGAGCATCCTGAAATAACTCCCTGCTTGGAGCAGGAGTCTGGAGTGGAGACGTCCAGAGGCCCCTTCCAGCTCCACCCTCCTGTCAATATGTAGCTATTTCAGGAACCTCCCTGTACTAATCTCCAGCAAAGCTCTGACAAAAGAGAACATAAAATTTGACTTAGCTCATCAGTTGACATTAAAAACAGGTTTCGGAGCTATAGTAAGAATGACATTGGATGTCAACATGAATTCTTCAATTGCAAGCCTCACTATGTAATACCACTTTACAAAGTATGTTGCAAGGCAGAAATGTGCAGGTACAGCTGAGTTAGAAGTGCAGACTGCCACTGAATCCAGAAAGAGTAAGTCAGGAGAAACCTACTGAACACATCCAGATTTGCTGTGGTAGTAGGGTTTCCCACAAATGCTGTTAAGTTGCAGGACACTTACACAAAACACATTGAAAACAGAAGGCCAGTTATATTAACAACAAAGATTTTTTCAATTAGTGTGGAAGAACTGTTTCTGGGTAATACTCCAGTGCTACCTTATTTTGCACAGGGAGGATAAATGTAGCAGTCACACTTTTCTTTAATCTTTTCAGTAATACAGACTATTGGAAGCAGTAATTTGCGCTTTCGTTATGAGAGCCTGATGTACTTTACAAGGGGTGGCTAAGAAGGGCTCTGCTATAATCTTCTAGACATGCAGAGGCAAGTACCTTTTTACAAGATAAAACAGTACGA